CTTTCTTTGACAAAAAGTGTTCTTCATTCAAGGGATTACTTTATATAGTTTTCATTAAAATCCACAGGAAGTCACACAGATGTTATATATGAAGACCTTCTAAAGGTTCAAAAACATCCTAATATTCTTAGGGTCATTGGATCACTGGGATCACTAATAAACTCTAAAAACAAGGGACTGCTTTGTTCTCTGTTATATCCCTCATTGCTACAATAACTGTGTCTGAGATATAACAACTACTCAAGGTTTTAAATGAATGATATACTTAATACATTAACTTTTAGTTACATTTGCATTTAATTTTAAAAAGCATGATGAGAATTTCAGATTATACTCACCAAATTTAATTTTTGTATGGTAGCTATGAATTCCTATTTGAAACCTCAGTCTCTTGGGGTTTCAATTTCTCTATCCTTGAAGGAAATGGTATATCTATGGGAGAGATAAATAATTGTATGAATATTTCTTCAATCATTCATAGTTTGTTTTCAAATACTTCCTATAAATGCAGTGAGTCCTCTAAGAATGAGTTCCTTCCTGCCACCTGATAAAGTCTCATCAGGTACACTTGGAAAAGCCAGCTGTGGCTTACAGAGATCAGCACCAGAAAATGGATGCAGGAAAATTAAAGAAAAACTCTGTTTTAATGTTACAAGCTCAGCATAGTTAATATAAAGACACAGCAAAGCTACTGACCCAAGCTTTCTAGAGACAGCTTGTCACATACTTACCTCAGTTAAACACTTAAGCCTTTTTATCACCTTGGTAAATAATGGAAACTTTCTTTTGGTGACACTTTCGTTTTCATATAATCCATGCTTCATTATTTAGGACTGTGGGAACTCCATTTAAAATATAAATTGAGGCATACATGTATATGAGAGAGGCAAAGAGAGGGAGGAGGAAGCATAAGTAGTAGTAATGGCTGTGATAATAAACAGAAACTGGAACTTCAAATAGGAACAGACTGAGAATACTTACAATTTGTCAAAAGATTGATGGTTAGAGCTTAATATTGGATCCAAACTAAGGTGTTCAGTCACCTAAAATCAAAAAACAAGCAATAGGTCAATGCTACATGGAGAAATAGTGCTCTCCCTGCTTCCTTCTTAAAGACCTTGCTATTCTTACTGAACACAGGGGCATAGTTTCCTCCTATTTTCTCCACCACTGCCCCTGAAATAGTGTCACCACTATCTGGACATGCAATGCTCAGATCAAAGTTTTATTTTTATGAAAGAAAAGCATTCTAGGCTTATTTTTGATAGATTCTTCTGATATTTCACACAAAACCATTTTCACTTATTTTCCTTAGGAAAACACACCTCACTCTTTTGCTGTTTTGCTTTGGGAATATACAGTACTGCAGAAACATTATTTGAGACAAATTCTTAATGACTTTTGGGAAAATAGTAATAGGGCACTAATGAATTATGCCCTAGAGCAGTGTTGATAAATATACTTTAATTGGTTGATTATGAGACCTGTGTCCCAGGAGAAGTTTGAGGAAATGACCCAGTGGAATGATAAATGGGTATTTGGAGATGGGGGGATGCTTAACAAAAATAAACCAACATTTTCAGGTGTACATTTTCATATGATCCACATATTATCATTCACAACATTGAGGGGAATCAGTTTTTTTAGGAAAACATCTGGTTCCACAGATGATGCATCAATTTCATGATTATTAGAACTTTTGAGATAGGTCAGCTAGACTTTCCTTTAGAAAGTACTTATTTTACAGTGAGCTAAGTAACTGGTATACATCTAAATTTAGAAATGACTCAAATTTCACCTTTATGCTTCTTTATTATTCCCAATATGTTAGCATAAAGATATATTTTAATAATGCATACTAAAGTTATTCTTTATGAACTAGCAAACAAATATAGCTCATCTCACAGTGAATAAATGAAATGTGAAACCATAATTATTAGAAATGATATATTCTTGTTGAATATATAAGTGAAACCTAGGATATGAAAATTATTTTTTGTAACCAATACTGGTAAGACAAATATATATTCAAATATAACCAATAATTGCATTACTATATACTTTATCAGTAATGTAGAGGCATATTTCATTTCAGAAAATTTCATATTATGTATCTTTTGTTTTAAGAAATTTTCCTTCATATGATGTGATATATACATATACACATATTATTAAGTACTTATATTTCAAATATTTTCTGTTAACAATTTAAATCTGAAATGTACCTCAAATATAAATGCATCAGATATATGCTAACTTTAGAAACTTGCCTTTTTGCCTAACAATATAATTTTAAACATTTGTTACTCTTAGGAAATCTTTATTTTCAACAAAAGTTAACAATTTGTTATTAGTTTAGACATTTCCACAACCAGCTTACATATCTCAATATGGTCACACTTTATGGGTATTTCATAGTGAATCAACTCTCTGTGGCACATTTAAAATCCCCCCTATTATAAGTAATATTAGAATGCACCAATGTGTATATATCTTGATACTTCCCGATTTCCTTTTGAGAGTAAGTTTATACAAAACAGCAACAGGGTTGTAATTTTACGAATAAACTATTCATACATATTTTCATATTTGCTTGAATCTTATACTTTTAATAAGAATGATTATTTTAACACAAATTTAGCTGTAAAAGACAGATATTTTTAATCCTGTGTGATATAGAATAAATGGTGTTCATGTAACTTCCTGTGGAACATTTACCCTACTTTGGTGATATATTACTTGGTTCTAAAGATTTTTAGAAATAAACCTAAATATGTTTATTTTTGCAAAATATTTAATGGTGAATATTCCAGTTAAAAGACAAAGATGTCAAATTGAATGTTTAAATTTGCAGCCTGTTATTTATTTATTCAATATTCAAATTGTATTGTTTTTATGAGGTAAAGGTAGTTTATAATATATTTATGAATGTAAGTTCAAACTTCTGTAAATGTTTACTGCCACATCACCCACGACCAAGCGCTCATTGCCGCCAATGTGGCACATTGTTCTCGGTCTCTGCTTTGTAACTAGCTTTGAACCACCTTCTCTGGCTGTCTTAATCATACAGACTTCTAGGGTTTGTTTTGATGGTTCCTTATTTTCTTTATTACAGTATGAGGTACTTATCATCTTCTCCAGTGCCACCGAAGTTAACTCATTTGTTTGTTGTTTTCTCTGTATACCACATGTAAGTGAAACCATCAGGGTTTTCCTTTCTCTGAATCACATTTCACTAATGTGAATTGTAATTTCTTCTATGTTTAATCTATGCTTTTTCAAATGGCAGGATTAAATTTTTATAACTGCATAGTATTCCATTATGTATATGACATCTTCATCCATTTTCAAATTGCTTAGTACTTCACTTGTTTCCAGTTCTTAGCTATTGTAAATGGTGCAGCAATAAGCACGGGACTACATAGATCTCTTTAAATTGGTGTATTTTTCAAGGTAAATATACAGAAGTGAGATTATTCAATCCTTATGGAATTTTAATATTTTTAGAAAACCTTCTTGCTTCTTATTGGAACGATTTATGTCACATTTTAGATAGTGCCAACATGATTAAAAACCACACCATTCAATCAATAGCCACAATAATTCTGAGCGATTGTGCGTGTGCGTGTGTGTGTGTAAGAATGAAAGCGTATGAATACTGGAAAGCATTTTAGGGTATTGAACCCTATGGTAAGTTAGGGTTAAGCAGGGACAGTACAGCAGGAACTTTGGGGCAGTTAGAGAAGCTTCGGAGATAAGGGCAGAGAAATCCAGGAGGGCTAGTAAGAACCGTACATTTTTGAAAGACCTTGGACAGGGCAGTGGAACAAAGACACAGGGTGTTAAGCTAAGAGCTGGAAGCCGCACAGCACTGAGAGAGAGCCTGTCACAGAGGGCGATGAGATTTTAGAAAAGAGAAAAATAGTGTCAGTATGACCTAGGCACGGCGCACAGCAGGGTCTTTTATCTTTCCTGGGATTCGCTGTGTTTGAGTATTCGCTTTTGCGCCTTTTCCCTCTACATAAACTTCCTTGTTCTGTAAATACAGATTTCCATTTCTCTGCTGTTTATCTAAGAGTCTGTCCACGAATTCCTTTCTATGGCTTTGTGGGACAAAGACCGTGGTGGTTCAAGGACTAATTCTGGCTTTTCAAAGCCAGACGGGGCGAAAAGCAGCGGCGGCACCGGACCACCTGCTTCTGCATCTCCAGGGTGACACCTAACTTGAGGACAACCTGAAAGTTAGCAAGTGTATGGTTTCAATTGCCAAAGCTATCAAAACAGCAGAGGTTGGATCTCATGAAACATAGGGCAAGACAGTTTCTTTGCAAAGTAGCTTCAGATGAGCTCCAGGTCAGCATCGGTTCATTGAAAGAAAGCGTTGGGCGAGAGAGCAATCTGCTTCCTGCTGAGGGCAGCAAGCCTAAAGCAAATGTCAAACCCACACTTGGAGTGACTTTGGGACTTTCCTTATAAAACAATAAATGCGAACGTAATTTTAGAGGATGGAATTCAATATGAAGATATGATACCTATGCATCAACTAACATAGGTAAACAATGTATAAAGTAAAAACTATAGAGATACCAGGCCAGGCGGGAAACACTGGAACATGGGACTTAACCTCACAGGGAAGCTCCTTTTGACATTCCGTGCTTATGTACTGAAATAATTTTTTTCAGAATTTCTTGCTGATTACTTTTCTTTAGCTTTGGATTTGTGCCTATAGGGAAAGATCTTCAGTACCTGTTAAAATTGAATTCTGGCATTCTTGTTAAATGTCATTCTCATCGATGTGATATCAAAACATTCAAGCTTAAAAAATTATCAAGGCATGTAAATGTAAAAAAAATAAATAGTTGAACCAACGTAGGTCAAATAGAATAAATGAAGAGCAAAGCATGAAAGAAAAAGAGATTGAAGACAGTTAATAGAAAAATACAGTAGCGATAATATTGTGTTCGCCATAGTTTCCACTGAAAGTTCAGCCATAAATTTTCTTATGATTGAAATTTATTCGAGAAACATTTTTTGACCAAGTTCTTAAAGGATTGCTTTACTTGCTGGTTCCGTAAGGAGTAAATGAAAGGGTTTAGCATTGGGGCAACAGAGGTATTGAGCACCGCTACACCCTTGGTCAAAGCCACTCCTTCCTTAGCTGATGTTTTGACATACATGAAAATACAACTTCCATAAGAAATGGAGACAACAATCATGTGTGAGGAACAAGTGGAAAAGGCTTTTTTCCTTTGCTCAGCAGAAGGGATTCTCAGAATTGTCTTAAGGATGAATGCATATGAAAGGATCACTAGGATTAAGGTTACCATGAGTATTAATACTGCCAGGAAAAATCCCATGAGCTCCAGGAATGCTGTGTCTGTGCAGGAGATCAGCAGCATAGGAGAAGTGTCACAAGTAAAATGGTCAATGATGTTGGAGTCACAGAAATCCAGCTGAAGTCCCATTATTATAGGCGGGAAGATAATGAGTAACCCAATGAGCCAGGAACCCGTGACAAGCTGGTTGCAGACTCTGCTGTTCATTATGGTTGTGTAATGCAATGGTTTACAGATAGCTATGTATCGGTCGTAGGACATTGCTGTCAAGAGGAAAAATTCTGTTGAACCAAGCAGGATGAAGAAAAATACCTGGGCTATGCAAGAACTGTAGGAAATGGTCCTGTCCCCTGTGACCAGGCTGACCAGAAATCTAGGAATAGTGACGGTTGTGAATGAGATTTCCAGGAAAGAGAAATTCCTAAGGAAGAAATACATAGGAGTTTTGAGGTGTGTATCTACCAGGGTAAGGGTGATAATTGTCAGGTTTCCAGTTACACTCAATATGTACATAACAAAGAGAAGGAAAAAAATCAAAATATTTAGCCTTGGGTCATCTGTCAATCCAAGAAGAATGAATTCTGTCACAGATGTGTGATTTTTCATTTCTTCTGACTTCTTTCAGGTCTGGAAATGCCAACAAGAAAAAATGATTTAGTGTGTCTAGGATGATTTTTTAAAATCACTTTTGCAGCTTTAAGCAATAGATAAGACCTTTAGTGAACCAGTAAATTAGCCACCAAATTGTGCTCAACTCAATGTAGATGTGAACAAAGATATTTGTGATCATTTATCTTGCAGATAGTTAATCATTTATATTTAGCACCTGAGATGTCTACTAAACACATCTGTATAAGAGAAGCATACTTAGCAAATGTAGTATGATATTTAAAGTGTTTGAAATTGAATCATATTTAAAATTAGGAAGAATGCTGTAAAATATAACATATTTCATATTTATTAAAATATTTTACCAATTACCGTATGTTCTAATGATCATCTATGAATCAGCATGAAGTTTTTTCTTTTCGTTTATTCTCCATGATTTTTAAAAGAAGTTTAAGCTCATTCTTGCCTATAGAGAGAATTAATAATAGCAAAAGAATCATAACTGCCAAAAATAATTTTTCTATAATTATAAACAAGAGAAACAAAATTTAAAGTTTTTTCTTTCTAAATTAAATAATATCACTTTCCAGAAGAGATTCTAACAAGCAAAGTTAAGTGATCTAAGTAGTAAAATTATTAACAAAAATGAAAATAAGAGTTGAGAATGAAATGTATTTACAATTACATAATGCCAAGTGGTAACAATTTGTTCAAAGCCAAGTACTCTGTTCTCTTGCTTTGTGTGTGTGTGTGACAATATTTGTTGTGTTAGTTTGGAAACATTGCGTAGAATTCACAGCTTGTTGCTGCTTTTGATTTTCTTATGAATCACATACTCACATGGTATGGAGGTGGAATTCCTGGGATGATCCTGATTTCATAAAGTGAGCTAGAACTTATTGAAGAGTATGTCCACTAGAAAATTTATTTGCAAAGTTGGTGGCATCTTGGTTGTAAGGTGACTTACTCCCAGTGACTTACTGCCGACACACAGACTGCAAGCAAAGCCTTGAAAAGTCCTGCAACTTGAGGTCTAGAAAAGGGTGATTGGCAGCACAGAGCCGTGACAGAGCTCCCTGGGGAGTCCCAAGTTGACGGCTCCCAGTGAGTCTGAAAGGCTGAGACACAAACACCGTTGCAAAATTGCAAAATTGTTCAGTGAGTCACAGTCTCCACTATTAATTTGCTGTTTAGAAGTAAAGCTAGAAGCAATGGGAAGTGGGAGAGCACACTAGAAAATACGTGTTTATTGTATGATTTTAATTGATAGAGAGTAGAGTCAGAGGCTAAACTCATCTGGTATGGGGCAAGATAGTCAAACAGTAAAATTAAATTAAAAAAGAAAAATGTGGGATGTAAGCCATAGTTACTATGAAACAGGCAAACAGAGGTGACAACGTCATATTTTGACTGGCTTAGTAAAGTTCTTAGTTGATAAAATGATGAGTTGATTCATGTGCGAGAATGGAGAAATGATAACTATAGGAAAGAGGTGAGTTGCATGGCAATAAATAAAAATTTGTGAGACAGAAACTCCTTGAAAGAGCTGTCCACCAAAGCGCTTTTCCAAGATCAGGCATTTAGAATCTCCCCCCCCCCACCCCCAAATATCCACAAAGACAACAACATCCATAAAAATAGATGTTCTGAAAAACCTACTAATATTTTACGTGCCCCTTACCAACTTCTGAAAGTTGCTTTTTTTTTCTTTAACTTTCATTACCTTTCAGCCAGAAAACTTGGGTTTCCATGATTCCCAAACAGACAGACAGGCTTTATCTATTTATCTATTTGCTTCTGGCCCCGCCTCCCCCAGCACAGTCACAGGGAATTCTTGCAGGAAAGCGATTAAAAGCCCTCTGGAGAGAGATGATGAGTGCAAACTGTTGAATAATTTTAATTAAGTGTCCATGGAAAATAATTTTTTCCAAACAAACATCAGAGAGTTGTATAATGCAAACAATAGTGAGAAACAGCAGTCTTAGAATTATTATGGATTTAAGTTATATGTATTCTATGATTTTAGTTGCTTAGATGGTAGAATCAGAGACTAAACTTTTCTGGTATGGAGCACGATTTTCAAAAAATTAAATTAAAAAATAAAAATAAAAAGATATTGACCTGAGATAAATAGATAGCAAGATAATAAAACCCAATTGCATGATCTTGTGAAGAAACAGAAGATAGAAAAGGGAACTTAAAACATGTTGTTCAAAATTTTATTTATTAACCAATTTCCATTGATTGGCTATTTTATATAGGTGGTTTGGCACATCCAGGTAAAAATTAAAATTGAGAGACTGACATCTAAACATGAAATTCATGAAAGTGATTTTCTGAAAATTCCCTTCAGAATTTTTTCTTTCTAAGAAAATGAAACAAGCAGAGCTGTGCACTGTTTCATTGTCTCATTTTCTCATCAGACAAGCTATACTTTGGTACATTGTTTTTAGCTCCGGAATTATTTGATTCTCTTTTTTTTTCTTACAGTATTTTAGTACGATGCCAAATTTTAATTCTTTTGACCAGAGAACTATATGTCTGTGTTTCTCTGGACTTGCTACAGCAATCTGGAAGACGGACAGAACATCGGTCACTAAAGCAGATCATTTTTATACTGAAAGAAATTTAAATGATGGCCAGAACTTTTTAAACCAAGATACACATTGTATTTTGTATTCTGTTATTTTAAAAATGTTATAGTCTGTATGACTAAGTGCTTCAACCACTTAACGAATGTCATCACCAAGTTTTCTGGGAAGTGCTTTCCTTCTGAGACCTGGCTGGCAGACTCAAGGACGTCTCCCAGCTCCGAAGTCTTGCTGCTTGGAGCCTTGTACAGCCTTTTCGAGGCATAACAGTAATCTCTCCTGCAGCGACATTAGGGCTCCACATTTTAAACTCCTGTTATTTCTTCTTCACACCTATTAAATTCATTTCTGTCATCTAAAAAATTCTGAATTTTGAGAAAGGATTTTTGTTTGTTCTATGAATCAGAGCATTGGACTGATGCAACATGAGATTTTTATATTTTTGACTTGTAATTCCACTTTAGTGTACACCTGCAGAACTTTCTAATACTATCGATATTTCTTTCAAACATTTCTCATATTCTTCTTTCATTTTATCCTCATCATCATTACTATAGCCAGATTATTCTCTATTATATGACTTTATATTAATCTTTCAGTTTTACCATGTGGTTAAGATAATGAATTTACCAAGGAAAATTTCAAGTTTTCCTTTGGGTTTGTAATTTTTCAGAAATAACATGCCTTTTCATTGCAACTTTTCCCTGTTTTCTTTTTCAATGTTTTCTTTTCCTCCTCTTGCTTGCCCTCCTTTCTTCCTTCCCTTTCTTCTTTCTGGATGCTTCCTTTTGACTTATTTGATGACAGCTGTTTCCTGTCCATTTTTAAAAATCTCATTCTCCATAAATTTCCCCTTTCCCCTTTATATTTTATCTTCCTTTCCTCTTTTGTCTCCGTCACGTGTTTAAAGCGAAATACCCAAGAGACCACAAGCTGCACAGAGCTTCCCTCACTGCTGTATTGGGTGTGTGACATATCCCACTATCTTCCTAAGTGAACTAACTCCCTGTTCATTTGGTCATCTGAATTAAGGAAATCAATTAAAAATATACAGCATCATATGTCATATCATCAAAGTTTCCCCAAAAACGTTTGTGTGTGTCTTCTGTATCACCAAAATCCAGTGTTTGATATGTTTGTCTGGCAACAGACTTAGTCTTTCTTATTTTTATTTTTGTTGGTTATGACAATTCCCGCCTCATCTGCTGTTTTGCTTTTCATGTTTCAGTTATCTGCGGTCAACTGTAATTACAACAAAATTACCTAAAAGGGTATTTTGAGAGATAGACTTCATTTCTATAGCTGGTGTTATAGTATATTGTATTGTTCTATTTTTTTGTTACTGTTAACTTTTACTGAAATTAATTTATGCTTTCAGCTTCATCACAGCATTGCAAGTTAAGACAAAATACTGTATACACAGGGTTTTCTTTTTATAACTTATGGTTTCAGCCATCCATTCACTGGAGGGAGGCTATATCTTGCAATAAAAACAAAAAAATAGTGATATAGGTATTTTATTTGAAGATGTCAGTAGCTCCTTCTCTGCCAGCTTATCTAATTTTAGATGTTTGTTATAACAAGAATGTTAAATTAAGCTTTTCAGTGAATCACATAGGGTATTTTCAAATATCTATTTTTTACTGGAAATAGAGCAATGATAATAAGAGGGTTTGAGAATTAAATGAGATAACACACACTCCATAAGCAAACAATTTGAAATGCTTTTTGCATTGTTAATATGCACTATATGGAACTTACTGTAATTGATATAATACAGAATTTGAGTTCGTGCTTCAAACTTGAGCCTAATGTTTTCTTGATTTATGATAGCAATCTAAAAGCAAAACTTTTTGAAATGTTATTGCTTGAATAAAACTGCCCTTTATACACTTAAAGAATTGAATATTGTCTTGTCTATAAAGGTTTTCTTAGAATTGTGTGAATTGAAAATGAAGAAAAAAATAACCGAACATTTATGAAAGAAAATTGATAATATAAAAAAGTAGTTATGCAGAACTAGAAAATGCCAGCACTAGTTCTGAGTAAAAATGTTTTTCACAAAATTAAAATATGGCTTGTCTCTATAGAAAGCCAAATACGTAGAGTAACTTAGAAAATGTTATAATACCTAGTCTACTTGAGGAATTTAAATGCAGGAAAGCTGGTTAAATTAAAGCAGAAATGGAGGTAGAAAATAACTGATATCTCCCTTTTTTATTGTAATTAAGTTCCCCACTCATTTCTTTCAAATTCCTTCCAAACATTTTTATCTGTAAGACAAAAGGGTTTTCCACAATTGTCTGTGTGATTCTTCCATAGATTATGATCATTAGACCATAATGGTTATACTTTCTGCAGGTAATCATCACTTATTATCATAGTCCCAGGGACTCAAGGATCCAC